CTGTCGAGCTCCCCCTGACTCATCCCGAACTTTACGAGGAGATGGGTATAAAACCACCAAAAGGTGTTATACTATATGGTCTGCCTGGCACTGGTAAGTGTGGTGTCAGTCTAAACGTGGTATTTCCCCCCTATCGTGACGCTTTTCTAGTTGCCCTTTCGTAGATTTACTCCTTCCTAGTTTATTATTCCTTACCGGAACCTGTACATCTTATTTACTTAGAGAAGCCTTAGTTGAAGTCTAAACTTACAGGGTCTATGGAGGTGTCTGTGTCGATCGCTACTGATAGTCTCACTTTGATTTAACTCACAGGCAAAACCCTACTCGCCAAGGCTGTCGCTAATCAGACTTCAGCGACCTTCCTCCGTGTTGTGGGTTCAGAGCTTATCCAGAAGTACCTAGGAGATGGGCCAAAATTGGTTCGTGAATTGTTCCGCCTGGCTGAAGAAAATGCCCCAAGCATCGTTTTTATAGATGAGATTGACGCCGTTGGAACCAAACGGTAGGTAGACTGTTAATGATACTCAGTTTTGCAGGTATGACTCAAATTCTGGTGGGGAACGCGAGATCCAACGGACCATGTTGGAGTTACTAAATCAGCTTGATGGTTTTGACTCTCGTGGTGACGTCAAAGTGATTATGGCCACAAATCGTATCGAGACATTGGATCCAGCGCTGATCAGACCGGGAAGAATAGACCGGAAAATCGAGTTTCCACTACCCGACGAAAAGACCAAACGTCGGATTTTCACCATCCACACAAGCAGGATGACACTAGCTGAGGACGTCAACATAGAGGCGTACGTCACGTCCAAAGATGAACTGTCCGGTGCTGATATAAAAGTAAGCATTTGTCTTTGTTCCGCTATACTATTTTTTGGCTATACTGTATGTCCAAAATTTTTATGACAGCCGAATGAAGCGACTAGATTTTTCCTAGGACATAACACTCTTTGACAACAGCACAAATGTCAAACCTTATGTTCTGGTTTTATATTGCGAAAGCCCTGATTT